CATTTTGGCCTTGAAACAGCATATCTGTTTCAAACAGATTCCCCCAATTTTCATATAAATCACAACCTATGCTACATTTATGGTAATGTGATATAAATTATAAAATAAAATTTCAGATATAGACAATTCCTTATATATTCTGCTACTTTAAATTACAGTAACAACATTGCGTTTCAGACATTATTTCCCCAATATCTAAAATACCAACTTAAAAATATTACACTGAATAATGTTGTCAAATTGTTGTCTTACCCAGTGAGTAATTTTATCGAGCGTGTGCAGGCCCCCATATTCCGTGTCTTGGTGAATAAATTAATTTTTGCATGTTTTTCAATTAAAAATTGACTAGAGAGTAAAAAAAAAAAAAAATAAATAGAAACAAAGAATATTACAATTTAACCCTCTGACAGCGAAGGAGATAAAGTTGGTGTTTTTTTAAGTTGTTTTGAATTTTGTACCCGTGCTCATAGATTTAACGTAATTGCAGATAACTTTCTAGGTAAATATTTTTGCACATGCTGCTGCTTCTTCACATTCCGCACACTAATAACATATCTATGTACGAAGTCTTTTCCTCGTGCATGCTGCACATCTTATTCGCTTTTCTTGATTTTTCTCGGTTGAAAGTCTATATTATACTTCAACTGGTAAGGGTTGAAGTGTTATGATAAAAGGTCTACTGCAGTGTTGTGTCATATTCAGACATTTCCAAATCGTCACCAATTTCCCAAACGTCCGTGTCAAACAAAATATTTGTGATATCTAAAATACTTATTACACTGTCAAAGAGCTTGTTTTACATTTTAAGAAGACATGTGACTCTCTTTATTACATTCAGCCACCACAAAAATTTCGCAGTGCACCTCCCTCCGAAACAAAATAAAAAGATAGCAAATTACTGCACTAGAGGGGAGCTCTATGAGTATCACGCTAAACCCATCTGTACTTTTTAAAGGTGTATCTTTTTGAGAAATAATGAAAATCAACATGTAATATTTGTTACTTAATGAAGCTTAATGAAGAGAATTACCATGTAATGGTATAAATTCAATTTAGTGTGACAGTTAAAAAGCCAGATCTGTATCTTATATCTCTTGTGAACTACAAGCCAAAGTATGATGAATAAACAAACATATCCGTCGACCCCAGTATGAATAATTAGAGCATATGATTGTTATATCCATCAAACCTACTTAAGGAGTAAACAGCTGAAAATTGTTATGTGTTGTCTACATGACTGCATGCTTATGAATTCTGGTGAACATGATCATATTATGATAAGATTATAGTTTCACTCTGCATTTATTGAATGTATGAATGCAACAAGTATAATTTTATTCTGTTTAAATTTCAGGTTAAAATAATGGTTACTTTAAGTAAAATTACTTATTGTCTTCCCAAAATGAACGGCTCATTATGTAAAACTACGACAAAACATCTATAGCCATCTGCCTTAGGAGGATGTTTCCACAGCAGCGGCAAAATCAGAAAATTGTGAATCGCGTGCAACCATGTCCATTGCCATCGCCTTCAGGAACAAGACGAATTTACCATTGAATAGTTAAATAAATGAAAACAAATTTTTGGGTGAAAAAATAAATTTTAAATTGCATTTTGAGATGCTTTAATGAGCCCCTTCTTTTTACTGAGATCCTTGACGTCTTAAAAAAGTAGTCACGCTTTTGATTAAAAGAAAATTTTATAAAATGCCGAATTTCCATTTAGGAGTTTCTGATGCATAGTGTTTCTCATCCCCGTATTATGAAGAATTACCGCATTCCTCTGTGCTATCGTAATATTACGTGGTAGTACTCTAGAGACATTAGGATTTTTTGAAGCAGAAGAGATGAAAATTGAGCAACGCCTTTGCCGGGACTCAAACCACGGACCTCTGGAATACGCACCGAGTGTGCTGATGCTAAGAAGGCGGGAGAAATACCTTAGCACCTCTGGCTAGTTCACTGTTCGTATCCTGGCATAATAGATCTACCATGTTTCCTGGCTTTCTAAACGTAATGTATTTAAAATGTTATTAAGGATGTAAAAATGTATTTTTAAATCACGTTAAACTGATTTACAGCAGTTATGCATTATAAACAAAAATAATAATAACCTAGAAAAATACTAAATGAAATGAAGCGATTTTGCATTTAGATTTCTAAACATAAAAGAAACATATTTTATTAGAGCTAAAAGTTCCTTGTTTTCAGCAGGATAAAAAGGATATATACATAATTTTTTGATGCAATTTATTATTTAGAGCATTAAAATTTAAATATTATTGTAACTAATAGAAATTTGAAATTAAAAAATAATCGCTTGAGAAAAGAAAAAGGTATTTCTAATTTGAAATAATGTTGAAATCATATTCATGAAACATCCAAGTCAGTTGATGGATTTATCATTTACTTACCAGCATTTATCAGAAAATCAAGAATTAAAATCATCTCACTCTTTCGCTGTCATTTAAATAATTTAGTTAAAAAGTAACTAATGATACTTGTCATTAATCTAAATTGTTTCTATTTCATAGAGATTAATTTCTAAGACGCTATATCTAAGAATTCCTAGCTTGCTCCACATATTGTTTGAAAATGCAAAATCCCACTGGTGTGAAAAAATAAATGAAGAAATATTGGAGATTGAGACATAAGATTGTAATGTCTGATATTATTACGTTTGTTAGATAATTCAACTGCTACAAAAGACATTTTCTAACATCTATTTTGAGCATGAAAGAGGCTGCATTAAATGCTGCTCTGACATTATCAGTATTATCTAAAACGAAATTTATAAACTGATTGTATTAAAGAATAGGACTGAAATAAGGGGTTATCGACAAAGTGCATTAGCCTCGGGTATTGATCCTAGACATGCATTTTTCATAAAAACTCATCAAATGAAGGTACTGAATTTTTTAAACTCTATAATACTGTCGATGGGAGGTTGGTGAAGTAAAATCTAACTTTTTAACGTCTGTAAAAATTAAACTCCAGTTAGTAAAACATTTATTAACCTATATTCAGTTAAAAACGGAAGATTCCATACCTTCAAAAATTTATCCAAGTCAGTAAATTCCTTCTCCAATATCTCCGAATTTATACGTAAGCGCATGAAGCATTTTTGGTCTATGCGCGCCAAATAATTTTCCATGGAAATGTACATACGTCAAAGTTACTTATTGGCCGACGTTAAATTAAATGTGTTGTTCGACATGCCATTATTTTTTGCATATGATGTTCTTATTTTCTGAATTAGTATTGTCAGTAAAAAGTTTCTAAATTTCTTTATTTACTGAACTAACTAACCTGAGATATATATTTCTTTAGAAAAATTTTACTGCATATGAAAGCCGCTTGCTTTGTTTTGTTTGATTACTTAAAAAGCACGTCATAGCTACTTGCCTGAAGGAAGAGATGCTTAAGTAGAGGAATTTCTAAGGTAACGTTAAGCATCGAGAAAAACCCGAAAGCGCTCTTGCAGCCACTCTGTTTCACTGCGATTCGAAGAGAGGCTACTGATAAAAAGTATATTTTTTTGCTGGAAATACCAAGCTGGAATGCTCCCCAATGGCCAAATAGTTAAGACTGCTGAATACTGGTAGTTCACCCGAATTGAAATCCTGGTTTGTCGCATACGCGATTTTGTGATTTTCACTCAAGGTCTGTAAAGAAACAAGATCAATAAACAAACCTTCCCAAGGCTTGAGTTCAGTGACGTTACTGGACTTATTTTAATCGCAGAAACGAAGACAAAAATGGAGTAGTTGCTTTGGAGTGGACTATGAATCAGTGACATAATATGCTCGAATACGTTTTTTTTTTGGGGGGGGGAAGAGTAAACTATATAATATAATAACTTTTTGTGTTCACCTTGTTTAACGTTGCTGTTAGCCAGTTTACCATAGAAAGGGCGCTATGAAGGCATCCCTCTCATTAGGCTGTTAGCTTTCGCGTACAACCAAGTAATTCAAACCAATAAAGTTGGCGCATATATTTTTATAAATAAAACTGTTTGAAGCGTGTTGTCATATAAATAAAAACATCTTTGAGTTTTTCCAAGCAAAATGAATGATTTCCTAATAAAAGTTATTTCTGTCTTGGGAAGCTTAAACAAATAAGGTTTCACTTTTATAGAATCTTTTTCTTTCATCGTGTTACCTTTGATTTCATAAAATTCATCAAGTTTTCTGAAGATATAAATACTGAAAAAATAAATGAGGCCTCACCGTAAATTAAGCCCTTTATTTACCAGTTGCATGTGCTGATTATTACATAGAAGCTTTATGAGGAGCACTGCCTTTAATTTTTTATATTCCTCCTCTAGCCAATGGAGGGGCGACTGGTAGAATGGTAGAAAAAGGCAAGGCCCATTAAGCCAGATCGAGGTGGAATGGAGCTATCATCTACTACATTTTACTTCTAATAGAATAGTTATTTGTATTTAAATCCTATCTCAGATTTTCCCCCTCAATGTTTAACTGTCCATATAAATTCCGTTCGTCGAATCTTTCAAGATTCAAAGCTGTCTTCGTTCGTCTTCTTCAAAGCTGTCTTCGTTCGTCAACCTTTTCAGAGCTGTCTTCTAGTACATGTATGTTAGGATTAGGTTATTCGAAGTTGGCAAATTCCGGAAAGAATATCTCCTAAGGGAATGGACGTCTTCATGGAGGTCTAAGGGAAACCCGTTCGTATGCACTTTACATATAAGTAAAATCACGAAAAACACCCATACAGCCAGCCGTTCGCCTGGTTTTGAACCTCAGCATTCAGTAGTCTTAAACCCTCGGTCACTGATGGGACCTATCCTCTAATACAACTTTCTCATAAATTTGGATAACTTTTAACACGGTATTTAATCACCTGTTCGTGAAACAGCTTATGAAATTAATGTTGAAATTTTCTTCTTTCTTCTTCAATTACAATATTTCAGATTACAATATTCAAATACTTTGACTAACTTTGCATAATACTATTTATGTTTTCATTTTTACTTGACAGATTGAGAATGAGTCTTTGCGAGATCTCCGACAGCAACGGAAAACAGCTATCGTCCGCGGCCAGAAAAATGTGGTCACTCGAGACTTACCTTTGTATCAAAGAGCTTTGGAAAGACATAATTTCGAAGTGCACGGACCACCATGGTATCGGAAGCATAAGTTACCAGACCGCAACAGTACAGTTTATTTTGTTATGGACAGTAAGTTTTAGGCTATTATTGTTTTTACACTCTCTCTGTTGATCTGATATATTCACAATGGGAAAATAAAAATTGTAATCTCTTCGCATAAGTATGAATTCATGATTAATGATCTAATAAACTTGATTTAGATGCAATAGGTGTGTAATCATGCATTTAGATAAATTAATAAAATATTTAAAGCTTCCTGAATATTATATCGAAATTCTTTGAGCTCTTTTGAAGTATTACGAGCCCTGAGACTTATTGGTGGTCATAGCAAAGGCACGTTTTATAGGAAATTGTCTATGTCTCAACTGAAACGCAACCCTGTGCCGTAGCAACTTCACCCCATTAGCTAGTACAGTTACGCAAGCAACCAATAAACTATCGGCTACAAATAGACACTTAAGTCACACACACACACATATATATATATGGGGTGAAGTAACATCATCTTCTCCGAAACGGCTGGCTTCCGGGCTCAGCGAAGCATACCGTTGGATTCCGCAGGTCCGTGGTACGCCATTTTGACCATTCGCGTCTTCGTGGAACTTTAATTAGCCGAGATATTAATTAAAAACTAATTTTCCACTTTCTTTCTTGCGTTTTCCCTATTAGAGGAATTTGGCTATGCGCCAAATTTTTTTCTCGAATATCTACGGAACGGCGCCGAGTTGAAATTCGAAACGCGTATCCTCGGTTTCCAAAAAATTATCCGAATCCATCGATACCGTTCACATCTTCGTACGACTTTAATCGGTCGAGATATTAATTAAAAACTGCGGAAACGTTAATTTCCGCGCTCATTTTTCCGAGTGGCAACAATAAACTATCGGCGACAAACACTTAGCCCCTTATATATATATAAAGATTCGGAGAACAGGGTTTAGAAAAATTTGTTGTTACAAACAATGTCCGGTAAATTAACAGGATCCGAATGTATAACGCTAATCCATTCTTAGAAGTGCAGCAGTTTCACAGTATCATAAACGAGGATTCCATATCTGTCCTTAGCCATAATTTTACCCTTGACTGAATTATCCTGTAGCAGTAAATAAAAAATATCTAGGAGAAACTGAATTGTGAACAAATATACATACAACAAATCTGCACTGTCGTTTCGGAAAATTTCCAGCCCTTCTAGAGGCTAACTGAAGATTTTAGTGGTACATTAACTAGAAATAGATATTTAAATTTTCTGCCTACTCTAATATTCATCATTCTGGATTACATTCCTCAAGTGATTCTTGCCTCCACGGTATGATACGTCGATGATGTTTTTCAGATTTTAGCGCTATCAGCGGAGTTGTCATATACCAGTGCTTGCATATAACCCTATAAGAAAGAGTTAAGGCTTAATAAGGCCATCGACTGGTTAGTGCAGCGCACCATTTTGATCGATACACTGTTATCCAAATATGATATCTAAGTTTAGCAGGTGTATATCAGTCAACTCCGCGTTCATGTAACTTCTGAATCTGATTACCTCTGCGTTGGTGTGTGAAAGAAAGATTCTTTACGAGATTACTCGAACCAATACCATGTATCGCGTCAGGAAAGCATCTTCGACCTTGCATTGCCATGTGATTCCCAGTCGCCTGGGAGCATCCTACCCCCTCCTTCTAGTATGAAACTCCAGTCGTACTCAAACACCCTGTATACTACTACTAGTACTGTAAACCTACTGCTAGTACTCAAACATCCTTTATATGAATTAGTAAAGATGAAGGCAGCTGTTCTGAAAACATACTGCTGTAGGTTTACAGAACGAATAAGTATAAAACTATTGATATCAGCGATGTATAATGCCCATATATAGCCTACTCACATTTTTTCTCTGATAGAATTAATGTACACACAGACGAAAGCAATTTATAAAAGCCCGAGGATCTATGATTTGGTCAAGACGATTACTGATCATGCTACAGTAGTTTACCCTGAAAAATAGGAGAAATCTTTAGATGTGATTAAAACTGAATGTTTTGTATTTCAAAAGAAATTATAAACAAACTACAAAAAGATTTTTTTTTTTTTGTTGTTGTTGTTGTTGTTGTTGTTGTTGAAAGAATCGAAACTTTAGACAATTTTTCCTTTTCTGAGAAGAAATTTAGTATCTGGTAACCATTTCATTAAAAATTTTTAGGGGTAAAAGAGAAGCATTATATTTCTTTTTTTAGGGGGGGATAGATTTTTTAATGTATAAAAATGCAGTAACGCTTTCTGGATTCATATAGCCATTCTCGAAAAACAAGGATAATATTAAAACTTCCGGGAATATTTACCGGGAATTTACAGAAAATAAATCGCAAAATTAAGAATGTCTAAACTAAAGCAAAATTTCTGTCAAAAGCTTAAATATTTCCGAAACTGATCTGCACTTTTTATTGTACTTAATTTAAATAGTTGACGGTATCGAATAAAACAAAGTAATATTTAAATGTTACTTGTATGCAGGTGTCCATAGGGAAGTATAAGCTGAAATTTTCTCACTTTTTAATATTATCATTAACATAGTGAGGAATAAAAATTAACTTAAATCTTGCATTAAGGCTCATTTATTCTAATTACGTTATTTTGTCTTTAAATAAACGTAAATATTTGTCTCTCTTCTCTCTTCATTAAACAAATAAAGAAGGACCTAGAGATTACTTCGGGAAAAAAATTGTAACTTCATTTCAGTTATGTTTATTTTCCACTATATATTATTTAGTTTCATTTATTTATTTATTTAATTTCTATACTTAATTATTCCAGCATCCTCTGGTGACTATTATTGTATGCATCTTGTTCTTTGCTATATGCTTCAAAATGTTTGAAAAGACTTTTCCCCTTGATTTTCCCTTTTCTGTATTTAGCTGAACTGTGGAGCAAATAATGTATAAAACAAAAGTGTTTAAAATATTTTCAATTTCCTTAAAAGCTTGAAGTTGTGCTTTCTCTTCTTTATTGTAAATCGTTGAGGTAAAATATCCTAACATAAAGTTCTGAACTAATCTGAATATTAAGAAATGTTTCCTTTCATGATTTAAGTAATTCGTTTAAAAATATTTAGTGTAAAATATTCCTAAATAAACACTGATAACTTAGCTATTGTTTAACAGTGAATCTTAAAATACGTAAATCGAGGTTTATACTAAAAATGTGAGTATTTTAAGAAATCCAATCTTTATCACAATTTTTTTTCAAGCGAAAAAATAGACTATCTGTAACCAACTTTAAAAGTTCGAAGGGAAATGGTGCAATCTATTCTCAGAAGGGAATTGCATTTCAGTCAGCAGAATATTTTCTTATTATTTAAAATGCTGTAAAGTAAATAGAAATAAGCCAAACTTACACAAAGTTAGAAGAACAAAACTAAACTGTATTATATATTGTTCAGTAATAAAGACAGTCCTAAGAGTATGAGCAAATATTTGAATTCGACATGCGAGGCCCAGTCGATATGATGACTACAAGTGATGGTTTTCATGCAGTTGAGACGGAGCAAAGGCATGGCCATATGATTGTTTTGTCGACATGTAATAAAGATGAAAGATTAATGGCGGGGAATAAGGAAATGACAGTGTCAGATGCTATGCTGTATACCTTGATCTAACTTGAGATACTGCTAACCTGAAACAATAATTTTACCACTGCATCCATTCTTCCACCCATCACTTTGCACGTGCGCGCTGAAAATGACCAAAAATTAACTTGATTTAATAATTGAGAAATTTTATCTTACATCTCAGACTGCAGCAAAACCTCTTCGAAGATCAAAAACCTTTACTTCTGCTCCAAAGACGAAATCATTTGGTCTTGGATTATACATTCTTGGTCTAGCAAGGAATTTAGTAACAATAACGGTATTGACTTGAATTATTTGAAGAGAAGTATAAAAGAGAACTTGACGTTCTGTTCTAAACCTTACACTTAAGTTTGCTTGCTAATAAGAAAGAGAAAACCTATATATAGGTTTTCTCTATATCTATATCTATATCTATATCTATATCTATATATATATATATATATGTAGTTACGTTAGCTTTCTCAAACTCATAAATATGATATGATATTTAATAAACAAAGCAGGATTTGGATTTGGAACAGGATTTGGATTTAGATTTATTACCTTACGATAAAATACAATAAATCTATCTTAACGAGATGTATGTTTTCGTGGGGGATTTTAATAAATACTGTTTCGCATTCACATTACAAATGCAGAAAACCACGAAACTGCTCATGCAGCCTACCCATTCGCCGGTACTAAAAGATCAAAAATAATGGAAAAGGGTGTCGAGAAATGTAAGTAGAATCTGTAATTTATTATACATCTCCAAAAGAAACCTAAAAGGAGATTTTAATAATACTGTATTGCAAATAAATGAAATTACATTTAAAAAGTGCTATCTACTTTTAGGCTTCTTCTTTGATGACGAGAATTTTTTATTAAAGACAAACCTAAAAGCACCATTCAAAGTAGCAGAGAAAGTTTTCTAAAATTTAATTACAATTTTATACGATAAGATTGAAGACTAGAGCAGTCTTAGTTTCCGTGCCTTGGATTTTCTGCAGTTCCTCTCTATGTGGCCTTCACCACGGCAATTTCAGCACATCAGGATCGATTTGTTGCCACTCCTATTCCACCTGAAATCATTGACTCTCTATCTTAAATCATCTAGACGATAGATCTATTTAGCAGTCACTTGATCCACCGACTTTTAGACTTCAGCAGCTTTGACTGAGTTACGGTCTCTAGAAGTTGCTTGCTAGTTTGCTTGAAATTTCATAGCGTAACTTGAAACTGTTTAGATCTTTATATACACCATTCGCAGGGCTTTCTGCACCTCTAAATCCCGGATGTCATCGATGAAATACTGCAGGGACAGGATTTGCAGGACAGGATTTATTTCTGTTGGGCAGTCCAAAAAGGCGAGTGAGACAGTCTTTGAACATCCATAGCGAGTTCCTGGTGTATTTTCGTTGGATTCTGTTGGCGAGATTTTAACAGAAGCCTACTAGTCTTTTAAACATCT